TAATAGCCTAGCAGAAATTTAATTGCCACAAGTAGTTTTTAAGCAAAAAACAAAACCGACTTCAATTCTCATATAAAAAAAGAAATATATATATATAAATATTCCATGATCCAATGATCGGATCTAAATTTTTAGTATGGGACCTCCTCTGAGACACTACCTTTCCGATGCAAAAAGAATTATTGAAATCGGTTGCCGTAGTCCAAAGTTATGCGGTAACATACACAAAAAAAGAAGAAAAAAAAAATCCGACGAACTGATAACCTCTTCCTTTTTTGGAAGTCGGTTAAAAATAGAGAGCCGGTTACGATCAGGGAGTATTCTACTTTGTGTGCACCCATATAAAATCCTTAGAAAGTTTCTCCCGTGGTATATTATCAGCTCATGAGTCATGACTAGCTTTAAGTCAGTGAGGATCAGAGAACTGTGTTCGTACATAAGTAGTTGTTAGACATGATCAAATTAAACAGACTTTTTTTAAGCTTTCCTTACATTTTATGTAGACGCGCAGAGAATAAAGCTCTCTCTGGGTGTAGCTTATTCACATAAACCACTAATGGCCAGAGAGAGCTTTTATCCAGTGATTTTTTTATCTCGGCAGCGACGTCCAGAGTGAACTTTTACTCCATGCGTGTCCCTTAAAAGCTCTCTGTGCCCATTGCTGATAAAAAAAATATACAAATCTCGATATAAACAAGTAATTTTTAGCAAAAAAAAAAACGACTTCAACTCCCATATAAAAAAAATATATATATATAGATATATATCTCATGATCCACTGATCGGATCTCAACTAGATTAGTATGGTATCACCTCTGAGACACTACCTTTCCGATGCAAAAAGCATTATCGAAATCGGTTGACGTGGTCCACAGTTATGCGGTGTTACATTAAAAAAAAAATAATAAATAAAAAATCTGTATGTTTTGGTTGTGACTGGTTTGTGGATGTTGCATATCTTTTTAGCATATGATTGCAATGCTTTCATGGAGGGCTTAATAAAATCAAACGAGATGTATTGATATTAGATTTCATAACACTGTTGATTGAAGGTTTCTTCTGCGCCGAGTGTGGACAAAATCATTTTTTTGTGTGTATTTTTCAGACAAGTTATGCTGCTTATAATAAGTATTTCAAAACGAATTATACTATTTCTTAATTAGCAAATTTTTTGCACTCATTGATTTCGTATTGGAAATTTTTGTTTTAATTTTTTATTTTTGTTATTCCTTTTAAGTACTTAACAAATTTTAATATCTAGGAAAATATAGTATTAGCAACATACATTTTTGAATTTTCTACTGTTTGTGGTACCAAAGAGAACTTTTCTGAAAGTGAAGCCTCAACGCTATTTGAAATAATTTAGCAATTACCTAACTTTATACGATTATAGTGAATAAGAAGTCATACGAAACTCAGGCAAAATAAAAATCTTTCGAATGCGTCATAGAATTTTTAAATGTCGATTCAAAAGTGGAAAACATTCGCAAAACAAACTATATCACAAATATGCTGCTGTTGCGTATAATTTAATTATAAAAATGTTAAACCGTTATAGCGATTCAAGCACAGCTTGTGATATTCATTATTTTCATGCATTTTATAAATTTATTTTTCCTCGTATTATTTAGGTTTAGTTTGAATTATATTTCATTTTATATATTACATATATGAAATAATTAAATTAAAGTTGGCAATTTTCACCAGTCTTATGAAATAAAAATATTGTTTTCTTTTCTTGCGTTGAACACGTACACAGATATACAAAATCTTCACATTCCATTATTTTTAACTCTTAATAGCGCATGTTTTTCAAGAAAGTTAACAAAAAAAAAATATATATATATATTTATATATAAATAGCAAAAACGAAACAAAACCAGCTTCAATTAAAACTAATTTTAGAAGTAAAGCCATTTATATACTTGCATATATCTATTTAATGCTAATCAGCGCTACTTTTCAAAGCTGCTTGACATTTGCGAATTTATTTCAGTTTGACATTTTGCATCCATTCCTCACATTTTCTGACTATTTAAATATTTTCTATCGTCTATTTTAGAAGCTAAACATTAAGCTTTTCTTTCTTTTGTGTTTCGATTCATTCATTTAACAGCGACACCTTTTTGATAAATTTATGATTTCCCGTTTCGTTTTGGATTAATTTATTGACAACATTTTATTACAACTATTACTCCTTATGTTTTTGCTAATGGATTTGTAGTAGAAACAAAAATATTTTTAAGTTAACTGNTTTTACGGCGACACACAGTGCCGCCTAAGTGGGCAAAAATCGAAAAATTCGTAGTCTGCAATGTGAACGTGTTTGGTATTTTTGCAAAGGTAATTTATACACTAAAAATAATTAAAAAGAAATTTCCTTATGAAATAAATTATATGCCGCCAGGAAGCGACTAAAATCAATAAATTTCATACTAAGAATTTAAATCAGAGCATACCCAGTCGGGTAATTAGTAATGCATTACATGCGTGATAAATAATATAATGTATTTCTTATGCGTTCTCGATAATATTACTGCTAACTATGTAATCAGCATTTTAATGTATTCAAAGAGTTCCAAAAATTTCATATCAAAACACATTCATTTCTCGATACTAGGTAATGCAAAATTGAATGCCCCACTTTTCTTAGGACATCGCCCTGGGAAAAAATGCATTTTCGAATGTGAAAAGAGTTGTTTTACAGATTATTTTTTCGATTACTGCATATTA